AGGCTCACGTCCTCCTAGTCTCTTTACTGAAATTAGTATAAAAGCATACGATGTGGAAAGCTCAAAAAAGTATCATTATCTTTCGTCCGAAATTTATCCGTACACCGAACTGCTAGTAGTATTTTGCCTCTTTATTCATAATGGATTTTTTTATGATCTTATCTATTCCTTTTCAATAAATCCATTCTTCTTTTTTATTATAGCTGTCATCTCTCCAACATCGATGTTTATTGTGGCAATGGTTCTGATATTTCTTTATTGCCGCATGTTTGCATCCAAAAGAATTCGTCAACATTATATACGGTAAAGCACATAAGCAAATTCAGTGACATCAGAGGTCTGTATTTATTCTTGAAGGCATTGTGTTCTTCCTGATGATTCCATCGACGTATGTGTTCTTGACATTATACTCACTTATAAACCTGAACGTCATTAATTGGGGAACGAGAAGCTGTCGCAAAGGCAACAGGAAAGGTGTGTAGGACTGCAGTTTCTGCTTATGTGTTGAGTGTATGAACCAAGATCCCCTCCTGTATATTGAGGAAGGGTTTTAGGTGGAAACCACTTCAACGTTTGAGCGCTGGCTACGTCGTATTGGTGAAAGTTCGTGGTCAGCGCTGTGCCCAACGCTTCGTGCCAGACCAGACGAAGGGATGCAGATTGATTGAGAGAAAGCTGGAGAAACTGCAGCGCTCAATTACTGACTTACAGGTTATTAGCAATTTTTCTTATAGAATTGAACTCCGGGTATGCTCACTGCAAGATGTAACGCAAGATTAACAATCTATACAGTTTTTTTTTACGAAAATTGATCAGGAGGATCAGAAAGCAAAGGAACGTCTACTGAAGATGGCAAAGGACATGGATGATGCAGCAGGCACTAATGATGTGAGCCTCATAACTGCCTGATCAATCCCTCACATACTTTTTTCGTAATTCATGTTTAGATAGTCGAAATTCGGCGTCCCATTGTAGAGGCAATACCAGTTCGTGCAGTGGACAAGTACATGTGGATGGAAGGTGACTATCTGAAGGTTAGCTTCGCAGATGAACTTGCGCGTTTACTTATCTGCATGACGTATTAACAATGTCACTTGGTCTAGCTATTATTATACATATTTGTACTGGTCCGTTGTGGGTTTCATGTGCACTGTGAGAGCCATCGTTTTGTTGTAATATTGATTGGGCATTTATGTAGTATTGCGAAAATGTGTAATTCAAATACGGCAATAAAACACGCAGCTTAGTTTCGGAGAGAAGGGCGTTGAAGGGTATGACAGATGATGGTAACTCTCGTTTCACACATACCGTAGATGGAGGTTAACCAGGTAACGGTATCTTTCTTTTGGGTTCATCGGTTAATGGAGGTGAGCAAATGAGATGTTAACATAACTGATGAAGGAAATCTAAATTCGATTGTTATAATTTCTCCTTTTCTCTCGAATGAATTGCAATGTCATGCGTGCCATCGGACGTTTTACTGTTGTCGAAAATGGAATCCGCCGAGATGATACATTGCTTAGGTGTGCGAACGGGGACGTCTTAAAGGAGCCGAAGAGGAGTTTTGGAGGCAGTTGATCGAAGCTTATTTGAAGGTTGAGCTATTTTGTTGATGTGTGATTTCATGTTGTTGTTGCATTTCAGGATGATTTTAGCCAATCGAGTCATCACCGCAGCAGCAGAGCGCAATAGCAGAGGGTTTAGCGTCATTGCGTAACAATATCGCCTTCGCCATTATTCTTCTTAACGCTCTTCTCGCTCTCGCAATTTATCTCATCCAGAAACATAAGAATGTGCTTAGTATTCGCTGGACACCTTATCGTAAGAAACATTTTGCTTTTCCTTTGCACTAAAGCACGGACAATGACGATGTTGCTGTAGGGAACTTCAAGTGGACGAAAATGAACGAGCTGACCGGTCAGTACGAAGTGACCAAAGACCCTCTCAAGATTGATCCATTGGGGATGACAATCATTGTGTTCCTTCTTGGAATTTCTGTATTCAGACTGATAGGTGAGCGGTTTTTCTAAATCGTTATTTCGATGTAATTTCTGACCCTCACGACGCACTCTTTAGGGGTATGCTTATCACGCCTTACACCATTTGATCGGGCGCTTCAAGAAGCGTGAACTCAAATTGCCATGACCTGTACCCGACCTTGGAAGTCCAACAAACTGATGGCATGAGCGATAGTTTTAAACTGCCGCGTTTAGGCTGGACCTTCAAAAAAAATCTTGAACATTTCTTATCCACGAGTTGCGAATTAGGGAGCCACAGTTGAGGAGCTATTATCGCAAACCACAAACATGACCGCCAAGATCATATCCAGCTCGCAGATGACAGACACACTTCGTACGCGCAAAGTCATGCAGCAGACGGCTACACCAGACATCGCGAACTTGACACAGATAACGAATCGGTACTCTACAAGCTTCAGCGAGCTCGTCTGGCGAAGCGTATGCAGAAAGCGGAGGCGAAGAATCAGGTTTAATAGCTGTAGATGAAATTGCCATTGATAGCTTTGAATGAACCTGGGCTGCGAACTTCTTCGTTAGAACTTTTTGTGATGTTGTTATACAATTATTTTCAGTGAACTAACTTTTGTCGGGTTATCTTTTCGAACCTTATTCAGTATGGCTCGAGACCGCCACATACAGTTTTGGTTCAGTAGCAGTCCGGATTGTTCTTTATTAAAAACATTTTGGATCGCCACTGTTCTGAATGCTTCTTTTCGGGTGGCCTCGAGAAATAGATTAAGTAATGGCTGGAAGTGTACCTTTTAGAATATCTTCCTATCTTTTTATCTCCAATTCACGCAGAGATATGCCGCCGATCCTTCAAAGTTAGCTGTACGTTATGAGAAGTTCCCCACTTCCGAGGCCACATTTGTGATGTTTTACCAGCGCTCCCATTTATGCCGTGCAGTCATTCAAGATCGATCTCAAACTTGGGTGTTTAGCTATTTGTTACTCTTGTTGAGAAAAATGCCTATTTTGGTAAGTGTTTTATAATGACGTTTTAGCTATTATACATTTCGGCACTATTGCACTGCTACAACCCCAATAGGGTGAAGTGAAACGGAATGTTCGCCCTCGGCGACGGCGCCATTGATGCCAATTTGCGACCACCTCCCCTCCTCTTTTGAAGGATGTAACGGCGAGTGTAATTTTTTGTCCCACTCCTCACAAAAGGGCAGTGGCAGTGGAATACTGTCTAATATTTTCCCGTATGTGTTTTGGGTATTTTTTTTGTGACAACATTCTAATTGAATAACAAGAGCGGTGCTTTTTGCACCTTAGTGATAGTTTTTTCCTAGTTTCTAATTTTTCTAATTGACTAATGTGATTTGATAGATATGATAAAGATATTAATAACTTGGATTTGTACAGCCCAAAAATGTGAAACAAAAAAAAAGAAATCCCAAAAATGTGATTTTCACCTGACATGCGAGGGAGATTCGACAAAAAAAATCAAAGCTACCATATATAGGATCGTACTCAGAACTCTTTGTATCGAATCTCTTTCTATTCGAATTCTGTGAAAGTGGTGTATTCGGTAGTTTGGAATGGTTCCTTGAATGGTTGCTCACAAAAATTTTTTTTTTAAGGCTATACAGCAGGTAGGATAGCCGAAAGGAAGTCGTATTTGAAGTAATTGATGTTGCTTAGGCAGGATATTATAATACCAGATTAGTCCCCCGTCAACCGCCGGGACCTTCCTTTCCTGCGCAAGCTTTCTATCCTCCGCTATGGTCCCTTCCTCCTGTGACACCAACACCTCCTGGAAGTGACGCGTATGCAACACAATGGTGTTTCATACAGTAGAAGGGACACAATCATGATATGACGGTAGATTTTTCGCTTCCTCATCCTCCCTTCCTCTCTCCACTGCCCTCCAGCTGCCACTGCAGCACCATGTGGAATGAACGGAAGTGTGCTAAGCAGGTGTTTATATAGCCCTAAGAGTGTTATCACAACTATCCTGCTACAAAACATTGATATCTCAAATCCTGTAAGCTACCCGATTTGTTAGCGGTTTGTTTATCCCATGAGCTTCCTTCTCACTCACTTCACTTTCGTATAACTGTCGTATAGCATAGGCGATGTCACTGGTGGCCGATGAAGTTCAAGGTGACCTGTAGCCAATCGGCACGAAGCCTTGAGTTGCTTCAACATGATTTCTTCAAAACTGGTTTTGATCGAAAGCTCTCTAGGATTCAGTAGCATGACCGTGCAATATTCCCTCTCGCACGTGCGTTACAGATAACGTTCGCTGGCGTCTTTACCCGTCAACAATATAGTTTAGCTCGAACCGTGGCCATGTCCTTATGGCAAAATTATTTCTGACGTCTTAGGTGTTAGAACGCTGATCGTGATTGGACTACGCTTTGAGATGGAAGCGTCCGTTTGTATTCAGCAAAGTGTGACTAATTTCGGTTCAAATGTGAGGCAGAATGTCGCTCACTCCCCTCCTGCCTCCTGTACGTCTCATGCGTGGGTATTTCTTGCTCAGGTAGGCTTTCTGGGAAAGACGCACTGTTTCAGGGATAGCAAAAAGCCAGTTCAGCAATCGAAAAAGTGGCGATCGAGAACCCGTCATGGCGTCGAGAGCCGATTTCTCCGAGAGCCGCCACGAACCCGTCTAATCACCACTCTCACCCGAGTGCACTCGCTACTAGCTTCTTCGCATCTAAATGCTTATCTCAGTCAGTCCCATCGATTTGTAACACATCCTATTGATTCTTTTGATATCACACTTCTAGATTATCACAGATGTCATATCCTTTCCGGAACAGATTCATGCTGTTCGCACCATAGAAGTTCGTTTGTCAGGTGTTTCAATACGATTGCAGACATGCGAGAATCGTCTCAGATTTCTACCATGCCAGCTTTTCACACAGTGATAGGCCTATTAGCTGTGATATCCTTTGTGGACGCATGCCACCCTCAATTTGAGAAGGAACTACGGTACCGTGGATCTTGATTATTGGGCGTCGCGACCAGATAACAAGGGGAGATATCAGCCACTAAAGTAGGCTCAAACATTGAGAGAGAAAGTTCTCCTTTATTGCCATTCAAGAAGGCCTGATCAACATTAAGCAATGTTCGAATTGGCAGCAGAAATTTATATACGCCGCGGGTTGCACTCAAGTTTAGAGCTTATCGTAGCTGGATTACACAAACCTTATCAATGCGGTTTTTTTTCTGACCAGCAAAGGTATTTGAAAGCGTAGGTAGCTTCCGCAACGGCCTTGTGGTGCTCTAGCTCGTAGCCAATTTAGGGGTACCCGACAGGAGGCCGTTTCGCAGCGAAAAGGACAAAGACGCTGGCTGGGCCGGCGGAAGATCCGTAGCGCTACTGTAGTGCTAGTAAAATTCGTCAAGATCAAATAGAATATAACTCCGTACGACTCATCAGAAACTATGGCACTTTCCACACTCACAGTCACCGCACGATTGCCCTCCAGCCGGGTACACCCAGTTCAGTGTGTCACCCTTCCAGGCACGTCTGCTGCTGGCTACCAACTGAACTATTTTTTGGCGCAATGTGGCTCGAGGGGGGGGGGCAGGCCGCGCGCGATCCCTGCTCGTCTGCCGTGTAGTACTAAGCCTAGGAGTGGGCATGGAACTTTAGGAAAAGGAAATTGCTCATGATACTGAGCGTTGTCGCCCTTGCCCGATGCTTTAGTCATGATTTAGCAAGAAGAGGAAATTGCTCTACACAGAAAGACGCAGAGCTCCCCCTCGCCTCCCCCGGAGCCACATTGCGCCTATTTTTTAACACTTTGACGACAGTGTGCCTCGCATACGCATCACACCCGAATAGTTTTCTTTTTCGCGCATGCACTACTTTCTTTCTGTTTTTTTTTTTTGTATTTGTTCTACAACCACGCCATACCACGACAGACATGACGGGCTTCAGCGAAATGGTCGAATATGCTTCACTGTTCATTCCTAGTTTCCTTCATATTCTCATAATCTTGGTCATTAAAAAAGAGTAGTAGAAGTATGGACAGACCTATACCTATGCAAAATATACATGCTTCCAGTGGAGCAACCGCGACAAAATAATTTTGAGGCCCACTACAGCAAAAGCTACTGATAATAATAACTCGCCTTTTCGATGCCAGAAAATGTCATTTCAATCGAATTTTTACAGTTGTTCCTTCTAATTAATTCGACACATCGATATTATTCAAAACATTTTGTCATCCAAATTCTGCTTAGAGCCCAAAACTATGAATTTGATGCAAGGCGGCTGCGTCTGCAAAATTGCTTTGGTCCACGCGGCGAAAATCCAAAACCGAGCTGTTCGTCAGCGTGTAAAGACCGCCGTCTAGCTATATTTGCTAGGTCGTCTCAAAAAAATCGTGCGTTTTATTTGGCATTCTCATGTCACAAGCTCCCTAGCAAATTCTAACCATGTTTTCATGGCAGCGCATTTAAGAAGACACAACGTGTAGTATCGTGCAACGGAGCTGGCCACTCTAGTCCATTTTTTACCTTGTTTCAGTTCAGAGTGAGAAAAGAAGAGAGCCATATTCCACACTCCGATTCAAGAACTTCCACCAGGACACAAACCGATTGAAACCTAAAGTAACATCTGCTTTGCGATACATCTCCTTGGCAATGCCAGCCATGTGGTGTAGATTGGATGAATCTTCCTTTTCTGGGAGACTAGAGCCTGGAGAAAAACCCTCGCTCAGAAAGCCCATAGCTGTCGGATATGCAAAAGCCGCGCTTTCTCAAGGAAGGCCAATCCACACGCTGTATCCTGCTCTGTGGCCATCATACCCTGATGTTTCAAATGCACAGTTATTAGAGGTTCTCGCGCCTTCGTAAAGACGTTGAGGCCTCTGCCATTCTCCATGATTGAACACTGTGAAGAGTGCGATAAGCGCTTCCATTGATAATTTGTTTCCTACTCCCATCCTGTGCGCACTGCTTGAACCAGCCTTTACTACAGATTGTGAGCAACATGCAAACTGAAACGAAATTCAGTGGCGTATCAAGCAGAAGAGGATTGCAAATGAGAAGTTGCATCACAGACGTTAATGCCTCGCCTCTTTTTGGAACGTTCTCGGGTTAACCACTGGAAACATCTCGTTCGTTATAGCTATGAAATCATTTAAGTGTAGTGTGACCAAAGGCGGGACTCACTGCAAACCGACAATCTGTCCTTAAAAACTCCAGCAATTTATCGCTCCACGAAACTGAGATCCGCCTTCGAAAAAAAAAAAAAATGACGTGATTCTATATGTCGAAGTTTAGTTCGAAAGTCCCATCATATCCGTCGTGCAGAGATGATCAGCCTCTTTCTGAAGGATGTCTGCTCTCTCATTCAGCAATCATCTTGCCGGCAAAAAATATAGCATTCCCTAGGGCCATCATAATGGGACTTCACTGCTTTTTCAGCTCGTAACTGCCAGCCTTCCGGGAATAAAGCGGCCACTCTTCGGTTGATTGTTGACAAAGCCCAGCGATAGCGATG